TCCTCTACGCTGCTCTCCAACAGGTCATTCCACGCTGAAAATCTGCAGCAGACCTGGTCTCACAGTGCAAGGTGGTGCTCACAAAAACTTGTTTCCAGTTTGACTCCATCCCTTCTTATCACTTACAGCTTTCACAGACAGGCTTGTAGTTGTGTTTTTGTTGGAAGGTCTGTTGTACACACAGGAAGATGCCTGGACACCTGTATGTGCACATGAGACGGTTGGTGGTGCTGGTTTTCAAGCAAACTGTTTATGGCCTGGCTCAATCCAAACTTCTGAGCTGCAAAACAGAATTACTTTTTATATGCTGCTGCACATCGAGTACAGAAAAACCCAGGATGAGGAGGATAGACCTCAGTTTTTTAAAGAATAGGGGAAAATAGCCCTTTACTCAGTAAAGCTCACAGGTTTTAATAAAACAGCTTCATACTTCTGAGTGCTGTATATTACCAGCAAAAGAGCCAAGCAATGAAAAGAAACATCCAAGCCTCTCGCACGCAGGAACTTTCCAGTATATCACCCACTGATTATCTCGCTCCTTGATCTGTGACAGATGAAAATTTAGGACTGTCTCTTCTGAATTGTCTCCTGCCCTGTGTACTCATTTAGGCGTGAGACTACCATCTGCTCTTTGGTTTAGCTTACTTGCAGTGCCACAGGCTGTACAGTATCACTAAAAATAAACCAGAGCAAGTGCCTCATTCATCCACCCTCATCTTGGTGCACTCTCTGTGCAGCTGTCAGTGGCTAGAAAGCATATATGGAAATCTGCAGAACAGTCAGGTTTGTAATAGCAGAAATGATGACCCTGCATAGCAATAAATGCTGCCCCCAGCTTTTTTGGGAGCAAATCAAACCCCTTGCTCTCTTTGGCATGTATGTTCACTTAAAACTTGAAATGATTTTTCACTGACATGAAAACATAGTATGATGACAAAAACAATGTCCGAGTCTGGGAGGCACTGAATTTGCCCAAGAGGCCTTGTATCCCCTCAAGGCCTTGCAGTATTAAATCCAACACCTTTCCTTCCACTTCTGCTTTAGAAACAGAGGTTTGGCGATTTAGAGGCTCAGTTTAAGTTTATATATAGATCTTCACTATTGTGCCTCCAGAGCAATAAAGTAAACTAGAAATATCTGTCATTAACAATAAAATAGTGATTTATCTGCTTGCAGTGAAACTTTACGCTTTGACCAGTCAAGTTATCAATGGGGAGATGCAGTTCTACGCCAGGGCCAAACACTTCTACCGGGAGGTGCCAGCCACAGAAGAGGGCATGATGGGAGACTACATTGAGCTCTCCAATACAGACATTGAATCCTCCAGGAAGTTTCTCAGGAAGTTTGTTGGGGTGAGTCATTTAATCCCATCTTCTGCAAGAAACAGTGGTGACATGTCATAAATGACAGGCACTGTGCCCAGTCACATGTAATTTAAATGGCAGCGTATGTCATATTTGATATGCAGTCACAGGTCATAACTGACTGTCATTGGGTCTAGTAGTGTATTCGGCCAGGTCATGCATCATCAAGAATACACATTTTGCCTGACTCTGTGTCATTATTTACCTATTTTGCACCCTTTTCTTACCCTGCAAAGCTGCAAAGAGGATTGTGCAAGGAGTTCTTATAGCTGTATTTGGATGAGAGCTTAATTCTCAGGGACCTCTCGTGATAAAATCCTTGCTGGCTTCAGTGAGAGATCTGTCTGTGCAGATTCCTGCAGTCCATTTGGGAAAGTAGCTGAGACTAAATGCCAAGTTTCTGTTTTGCCTATTTATAGATATTTCTGAGAATGCTACAACAAAGTGCAGCCCTCCCCACTGCCCTTCCTAAACATTAGGAGTATATAGCATAAGCTTCCCATCAGGAAAAATATTTTTTCCTGAACATTCCAGTGTCACTAGGAACCTTTGCAGGCAGATTTGTAAAGGTCTGTAAACATCTTCAAAGGTCTGCTTTGACCTGAGATGCAAAGAGATGCCAAGTGGTATTTTTAAAGCACCTACAATAGCAATATCACTTTGGCACTTCGTTTTCTGAAAATCCTGTTGATGCCTAAATGTGTCTTTGGAAATCTGCAAGTCTTTGAAAGTGTGGCCAGATGGTTTTCTGACTGTTCTTCCCTCTTCCCAGGGGAAAAGCCCACTAAATTAGCTCAACAACAGTATTAGAAGCTAAAGAATCCACAAAGCTACAGGAAACCAAATTTCGTAAGTTCTGCTCACAAAATGACTGGTTGTGTATAATGCTACCGTAAATCTTTCATTTTCTGCTCAAATGTACAAATTTGGGATAGCCAGATGACATTTTTGTAGTCTTAATGATCTACTGTGGAAAAAAAGCTCAATAGGTTAATTAGATGTTGTGTATAAAAAAGGGCACAGTTTAAACGGATTGGGATGGAAAATGAGTGTGGTTTAACAACATCCAGAAATCCTGTATAGCAGCTAAGGGCAATTGATGGCAAAGTTTGCTGTACCTGACAGAGGGAGGCTTTTGAGGCAGTGAGCCAGCAAAACAAAAGTGAACAGCTACATATTTTTAATTAACAGTCTTTTGTATTAATGCTAATGCAAAAAGGCTTCACAACATTTCAAAGCCTCGCTGTATCCAAACGCAAAATAAGAAAATACAAAGGAAGTTCAGCAAGGCAGCTGAACCTGATAGTGAAATTTTTCATTTTCAGAAAAAATGAAATGCAACTTATAATCCTAGAGCCAACTCAAGGCATGTTTCTTAAATTTTATGTTAAGTCTTGTTTTATGGACATTTGTGGAATTCAAGTGGTTCATAAGCATGTACTTGGGAAGATTTCACACTTCCTAGACATCATCTAGATTCAGTTTCCTGAGTTGCAGTTTTATATCACACTGTTACACTTTCTCCTCTCCAAGACCCGAAAAGGAAAGAAGCTCAGCCTGTAGCAGAGTTTCACATGCCAAAGAGAAATCATACCCAATGCATCAGGTGTGATGACAGATACAAAATACTCCAGAGCAGAGTTTCTACTCCTATTATTAGCCAGGGATGGAAAGGATACTCTGAATGGCCAAGACCAAACAAGAAGAAAAAAAAAAAGGAACAGAAAGGAATCTGCACATTTTGCTAATTTTGATTTAGTTTCTTAGAGCCTGTCCTCTGTTGAGATTCAATCTACTGGTTATGTTACTTATGGTTTATTTACCTTTCTTACTACTGCAGTTTGAGTCCTACTCAACCAGATACAGTTATTTACTGGCTTTCTGTAGTAGTGAAGTTACTGTAAAGCTAATTTGAGTTATGTCTTCCCAAGTTTATGGCTCTATGAATAGGGTTGGTTTTTTCCAATAAGGTGATCAAGATAGGAAAAAGCAATTTTCTTCACCCTAATATAAACTGTACTTCCTTTTTTAAAGAGAAGTTTAACAAAATCAGAAAAATAGGTAAATTAGTTTCAGATCAAATTAACAAATTTAACTTATTTTTTAATTGTTTTACCCTCTGCAAAACTTTTCCCTTTGTTTTCAAGATATAAGTCATTTCCAAAATGAAAAATGCTGTTTAGAAATGAAAAGTTGACAAGTTTTTTTTTCTTCCTTGAAAGCCGTGAAAAAGAAGTCTCTTGACATTTTCAACATTCTTTCCCAGGTTTTTTGGCTATAACTATCCTCTAGATCTGAAATATCAATTTCACAGAGAGTTTTATTCTTCCAAAACTTTATTTTCTGGCAAAACTAGTGCTCTTTAAAATACAGTTGCCCAGTTCCACTCAAATTACCCCTCCTGAGTTAGTTTGGCTGGTGTGGAAATGCCACACAGTGACATTTCCCTTACATGACTGATGTTGCGTACCTTCATGTATGGCATTTCCTAGCCTGATTCTTAGCACCACTGTAAACTGAGCTACAGATTTCTTTACCATTGGAGAATTTATCTTGCCTGGGCACATGGAAGGAATTACAGAAAGGACTAAGGACTTCACTTATATTTTAGCCTGTCTCCTTCCCAGGCGAGTCAAACTGAGTTAAAAGTGCCACTGTGCTCAAGGTAAGAGGTTTTATGTGTGTGTGGGCAGAACTCAACCCAAGAGCAACATTACTAGAGCCAACGGTGCAGTACAGACAAGCTATAGGCTGTCTTAGGTACAGTCATACTTGAAGGGTTATCAGCAGAGCTATAGCACTGCACATTTATGGCAATGTATTAATGCCAGTTCAAGCCTTGATGTCCATGTAGACACTGTGTTTTCAAGTGCCTAATCCAGAGTTAATGTTTAAAAAACGAAATAAAGCAAACAAAGCAACCATTAATGCAGGAACAGTTGTGAGCTATAGGTGCATGAAATAAGACAGATGGAGATTATATTAACTTGATAGTTCCCTTTCTGCCCTAAACCCTTTCTCCCTTTTTGCCCTTAGTTCACCTGCCTGATTGGTTACTTGCTGAATGAAAAGCTTCCAAAAAGTGATTTTCCTCCTGTTTGATGAGGGGGATGGAAGAGATGTTGTTGAAAACCCCATTTTTTTCCTTTAATTTAGAAGGAAAACCACTGTGATTTTTATCTATTTCTTGAATTCTGATTTCTTTTTTATCCTACATATCTGCACTGCCTTCCTGCCCTCCCAAGACCTGAAGTAGTAGCATCAGGAATATATTCCACAGCTCTTTTTTCTGTAAAGAAGTCTATGAGTGCCCTGTTTAACTTTACAGAAGAAGTTTTGGGTGTATGTGTGTCCTAAATTATAGCAATTCTGAGTAATGGGAAGCAGGTAATGAAAGGAGCAGTCAATCTTAAATTTTGAAGCCTGTTCTGGCTTAAAATTTTCAGTTATACAATTTTTTAAAATAAGGAATCTGATTTTCAACTCAGTTAGGCTTTTGGGAAAATGATTGCCTTCCAAAGAAAATGTTAATACTCTGTCAAAACTGTGAGCACTCCCAAACTGAAAATATATTAGCTGAACATGGAATTATGTCAACATTTTCATTACTAATGGAGCTGTGGTGCTTCGCAGCACTTCTCAACTGACTGCCTGATGCTCTTGCTCCCTTTCAGCGAAGTGTGGGATCAAGCTTCATCTCCCATGATTGTTCCCTTTCCTTCTTCTTGATGGCAGATGGAGATATGTCATCAGAGGTCCTTACTGTGACACATCATGGGAGATGAATTCCCTGTTTTGAGTGAGGTACTGTGTCTATAGGTTCCCTGAAACACAACTGTCAAAGAAGTTGTTTGGCTTTTTGTTGAGTTCTATTAGTTGTTTTGTTAAATCATTTTTTTCCTCACCAGCTTTCGCAAAGATTTTTACTTAATCACATCAGTGTAGGCCTGTATGTATCTGCCAGCAAACAATATGGAAATCCACCTTGTAAAGATCCAAGACACAGTGCCTTCCCCTTCCATGAACTCCTTGTTACAGCGTAGTCTGGTCCTCAGGGGTGTATCAGAAGGGGTGTGGTTGTAGGTCGAGAGAGGTTCTCCTTCCCCTCTACTCTGCCCTGGTGAGACCGCAATTGGAATATCGTGTTCAGTTCTGGGCCCCTCAGTTCAAGAAGGACAGGGAACTGCTGGAGAGAGTCCAGTGCAGAGCCACAAAGATGAATGAGGGAGTGGAGCATCTCCCTTATGAGGAGTGACTGAGGGAGATGGGGCTCTTTAGCTTGGAGAAGAGGAGACTGAGGGGAGACCTCATTCATGTTTATAAATTTGTAAAGGGTGAATGTCAGGAGGAAGGAGCTAGGCTCTGCTCTCTGATGTCAAATGATAGGACTAAGGGGCAATGGGAGCAAGTTGGAGCATAGGAGGTTCAACCTGAACATGAGGAAAAACTTTTTTACTGTAAGGGCTACAGAGCATGGCCCAGTCTGCCCAGAGAGGTTGTGGAGTCTCCTTCTCTGCAGACATTCAAAACCCGCCTGGACACGTTCCTGTGTGACCTGGTCTGGGTGATCCTGCTCTGGCAGGGGTTGGACTGGGAGAGCTTTCAAGGTCCCTTCCAACTCCTAATATTCTGTGATTCTGTGATTCAGTAAAAGCCACATGCTCCCCCGTGCAGCCTGTGAATGAAGAATGGCTCACATTTTCTGGCTAACTACAAACAGGTAGTCTCCAGAGTCCAATAGGGCTGAAGGCTTGTGGACTTTTGCACACATCAAGAGATTGATCTTCCTAGGTACACAAATCGGGACCAGCAGCCCTGCAGGCTGGTGAGAGCCTTTGAGGTCCTTGTGCTCTTTCTACAGTTACTCTATGTAACCAGATGCTCAGCTGGGCTATTCATAGTCATGTCATTGACAGTACTGTCCTTTGACCTTAATAATCTACTGAATTACCCACTGAAGCAAGGCCAAAAAAGCAGTGAGTTCCGTGATTTACACTTGGTCATTACAGAGGGTGTCACCCAATAAGCGGGAAGAGTGAGACTCTTCCTGGACTTATTTCCTTTAAGAGCAGTGACTTTGGCCCATAGCTTTCATTTCAACACTCAGTTCCAGGGGACAGGGAAAAGGTGTTTACATTTGCTTTTAATGTATTTGTTTAACAGATAACTTTGGCCAGGGGAGCTCCTATCCCACAGTCAGTGCATGTACAGACTTAAAATTTCTGTTTTACAGAACAGCAGCAGGCTCTTAAGAGCCTTTTTATAGCTAGAATGGAAGCTTAAGGGGTGAAGTACAGCTTTCATTATAAATCTCCTTTTACAGTGACTCATTATTTTCTCATAGATACATCCTATGTGCCATGGTTTTTTTGTCTGATCTCTGTCCAGAGATTATATTTATGAAGAAAAAAAGAACAGTTAAGCAAAAGCTACTCATCATCTTTTTTGTCTCTATGCCTAAAAAAGAAATTCTGTATATGCTCCAGTCCAAACTTTTTGAGATGTCATATGTTACTTACAACTCCAAGATCTTTGTTCAAACACAGCTTGTTTTGAAGACTGCACTCTGATCTCAAGGATGCTGTGCATCTGCAGAAATGTCCATGGGCGCCTTGGGAGTTCTGTGCTGCAGAAGTTACTTCTTGCATGCAGTATTTGGTATATGCATGCTTTTTTGTTAGGCCTTTACAGGGCTCAGAATGAGGCTTATCTAGCCATGTACTTGCCTGTGAGATATCAGCATTTGACAGATGAGGTTGTAAGGACTTTACAAAGACCAGTGGATCTCTTGAGACAGCTAGGAGCTTGTGAAAGATTCTGTCTCTTCTTATACCAAGCAAAAACTTATTATACAGCAATAAATGCAGTGCTGCAATGAGGAAGTCCCAGCAGCAGCAGCCTGAGAGCAGAGCAACCCAGTGTGGCTCACACATAGGTACCCAGAGCTGTATTGATACTGTTCCAGGTTCTTATCAATCTTGCAAGAGCCCTGCACAGATAAGGAGACAAGATGTTAGGCTGGGTGAACTAAAGTCTATAGTTGGTAACTCAGTTGCTATGATCTTTCAGGTGGTATTTTTCAGATTTCAAATAATTTTCTTGTATCCCACAGGGGGTGGGCAAAGCTGGCACCAACCGCGCCCTGGACTGCGGCTCTGGGATAGGTCGTATCAGCAAGCATGTCCTGTTACCAGTTTTCAAGAGCGTGGAACTGGTGGATATGATGGAGAATTTCCTGGCTGAGGTCCCAAACTACCTGCAGGGCAAGGAGGACAGAGTAGAGATGTATTATTGCAAAAGCCTTCAGGAATTCACTCCTGCCCCACAAAGATATGATGTCATCTGGATTCAGTGGGTTTCAGGTTAGTTCAGCATGATTCATCTAGCCCAGCATCTCAGAGAACTGTAGAGCATGTGCTGAAGTTTATGTTAAAAGAATGGTGCAGCTGTAAAAGCAGGTTCTCAAATCTTTGACACTGCTTCCTAAAACCTCACAAGAGACTTCTGACAGTTCTCCCCAGCCACATGCACAGTGAGTACAAATCAAGTTGGTTTTTTTTCAGATCATGTACTGGAGGAAGGCATGTGTTCTTGAAGAGTAGCCTGCATGCTAAGGTGCAGCTGAGGAGTAAGCCTCATATATTGGTTTTCTTGAGCAAGAATCCTCCCTCTTAGTTGCCAGTGCTGCAGACAGATCCACAGCATTGGCCTCATCTGTAAGCAGGGATTTCTGAATCTGATGAGTATCCAGACTTGGAGATATTTCAGGAAACAATCTGAAAAAAGCCATAGTGAAATCACCAATACCTATAAACTAGATCATGTCTTATACAAGCAGTGGTGTTCATCAAACAGGTTCACTCAGCGATGTCCCACAATACCCCCTCACATAAGAAGTCTCTGCTTCTTCTCCTGCAGCCACCACAGAGAATGCCCTGCAGCATTAAGAGCAGCAGACTGGCAATCAGATAACGTGGTCTATGTTCCTGCTGCAGTGCCTGTCCTTCCAGAAACAAGGTTTTTCCTTAATCTGTGAACCTAAGTGTCCATGGTGCAGTTTCAGCTGGCATAAGTCATTATTCTAAAGCAGAAGAGAAGGTCTGAACAACTCCTTCTCTCCAAAACCCTGGAGACAGATAGTTTCTTGCTAGGCAAAAAGAGAGATAAAGGTATAGATATTAGCACAGAAGATGGTTTTATTCAGGAGCACTTACTTGTCCTCTGCATATAGTCTTCAAAAGTAATGAAACATGGCTTCTTAGAACAGGTCTTTATGGCTGTACAAGCAAATTTTTTCAGAACAATGCAATTTACTTTTGTATTTTTGCTCTTCTTGAGTGACCAGTTATTGATGTAAATATGGCTCCTGCCTCACCTTTTGAGCAAATCCAAGTCAATTTGAGACTGAATGAGCTAAGACTTGTCTGAAGCTGTGCTGATCAGTTATGTGGCTGCTAAAGAAGGGAGCGTATGCCTTTTCTTTAGCACAAACACAGATCTGAATCTCCTTCCTCCATCCATTTCAATGAAATATGTAGTGATCTTAAGTATTAATCAAACTTCTACCCCTATCTTCAATTTGGCTGAAATACGCCAACATGATCAATGCTTTTGGTGGAGCAAGGGCAGGACTGTCTGGTAGAGAGCAACACCATGAAGATCTCATTTTCTTGGGAAACTGGGCTAAAAGCTAAATTAGAAGAACACGAAGTTCCAAAGGAGGTGGTCAAAAGCTTTGGTGAATCTTGCTGATGCAATCTTGATTTGTCTTATGTATGCATAATTGTCTGAGCCCAGGCTGTTACTTTATGAAAAAAACACCAAAAATGCAAGTTGACGTTTCATGTAGAAATCACCATTTTCCTTTAACTTGAAAGGTATTCAGCTTTAGGCTTTGGGGTTTTTTTCTTTTTCTTTTTTTTGGGGGAGGTAGTTTAAAAAAAACCTGACATGCTATGTCAAAATGTGGTTTTGAAATGACAACTTCCACTTGTAAAAGTTTAAATCTCCCATCAAGAAAGCTAAATATTTTGACTAGAAAATACAAACAATGATTTTTTCCAAGTTTTTCATTGTTTCTGACCACCTGTCCTTGTTAATTCATTTTAGATGTTTCACATGTGAGAGTTCCCATTTTGCTCTTCTCTGAGCCCTGCACTACTGATCTCAACAAAACAGAAATATCGATCTCTGAGAAGGAGGGATTAAAACCACACTCTCAACAACATATTGAAAAAGTACCATCTTTAAATGTATATGGTATATGCAGAAACCACAACAGTATGGGGTAATATAAAGAGTTTATTTGGCAGTTTGGAAGGTCTTGCATTCCTCACTGGATCTTTAATCCAGAACTCCTTTGATGGGTACATAATGTTATGCAAAGTTATAGAGATTTGCAGCATTAAAAGACAGAAGGGACAGATATATTATGTCATTTGACCTACTCTATATCACAAGCAGTTGTATTCATTCCTTTACCCTTGTACTGATCCAGTAGTTTGTATTCAATTAAAACATATCTTGAGAAAGTCAACCACGCTTAGTTTGAGGACTTCAAGAGGTGGTAAACACCACTTCTGTTGGTAGTTTCCAGTGGGTAATTACTTACACTGTTTAACAGTTGTCACTTATTTCCAATATTAATTTGTTTGGCTCCAGCTTCCTGCCACTGATTCTTATTATATCTTTAACCACCAGATTAAAGAACCCTTCAGCACCCAGTATTTTCTCTGCTATTCCTATTGACTTCTGTCCACATCTGTTGCTGCTACTGATACAGATCCTAATATTGATTTGAGTTTGTAACTGTTGATCTCATTGATTTGCCCAAGATTTCATGATTAAATCTGGCAGGACTAAAACTTCTCCTGGAATAAATAGATCAAGGCATCATTCTGATGTGTACAGGGGGAGTCTGTCTGAGTGGTTAATAGTGATTTATTTTCCATCTTTTAATCGGTAGGATATCTGACAGATAAAGATCTCCTGGAGTTTCTCATCCGGTGCCAGAATGGCTTGAAGGATAATGGTGTTATCATTCTCAAGGACAATGTAGCCCGGGAGGGCTGTTTCCTGGATTGTCTGGACAGTAGTGTGATCCGAGACCTGAACATCCTCCACAGCCTCATTGAAATGAGTGGACTCACCATCCTACGAGAGGAGAGGCAGGAGGGATTCCCTGAGCAGTGTGTCCCTGTCTGGACATTGGCCATGCAGAAAAGCCCTGGCCATTCCTGATTGCACAGTGAAACTGGAGAGACTGGACTATGGATGAACTGCAGGACTGGGAAAGAGAAAAGCATCTTCTAGAATCTTCCTAACCATGCACTGCTACTGCGACAACTCTAGGGCAGCATTGCCTAGAGGACTGGGAGAGAATTACAACTGAGACAGTTTTTCCAGGGAATAGTCTGCTTCTAAATCCTGCCTGCTTCATCATTCTCTTCATTTTTAAAAGCCTTTCTAACAGTTCCTTGTCAGGTCTCTCTTTCATTAAGGAGTCGATACTGGACAAAGCTCAACTGAAAGAAAATAATTAGGTCTGAAGTTTCTGTAATGCCTAATATATTTTGGAGTGTTCTGTATGAGGTGTTAACAAGTGAGCCTGGTTTTTACTGTGGCACTTAAATCTTCTTGGAATTTAAGAAGGATCTGCCAGATCACTGAAGCTGGAAATTCAAATAACTTTTGGAAAACCTAAGCCAAATTCTGTCATCACTGTATGTGCTTTAAAATATTTAAACCAAAACTGTAACTCAAGTTTAATCCATTGGTTGGCATCAGCTGTGCAGTTTATTTATTTTTTTGCATTTCCGTCAGTTTGAACAATAAGACAACCTGGTTAATTTTCCATTTTAGGAACCACTTTTTCTTCCTTATGTTTCTGCAATGGAGCAATAGTGGTGCATAAGGGTTTTCACACTCCAGGGGAAAACTTAAATGTCAAATATGTGCATGTTTGCGTTGAAATTTTGCAAAAAGATTGCCCCACAAATTACATTCTGGAAAATATTTTTTCAAAATGTTCACAGTGGAAACCACTTAAAAGCTTCTTTTATTATTCATACCACTTTAAATTTCTTTCTTTCCCACATTCAGAACAAGTCTGGCACCATATGCAGGGCTAATGGGTTTTCATGGGGTGTTAATAGTAAGACTGTAAGAAGAACTAATACAGTATTGTATTAATTAACAACTGTACTGAACTGCAGAGGGTGTTAGTGTAACCCAAAAGCATCTATGATTTATATTCAAACAGCAGCTGTAGAAGCCTGGATTTGAAAATACTAACACACATACCATCACCTTAAGGCTCACAGAAATTATGTGTTGAGCTTCTTGAACTTTTCATATAGGCACAGAAAGTGCCGGAGGACAGAAGGTAATTTTGCAGAAAAATCAGAATTTGAATTTTTGCTTCATTCTGAATGAGGATTCTTTACGAATCAAAATTCTTTATGAAAACAAATCACACAAGCACAGACTTGTCCAAGTTGATTAAAATTTTTCAGTCAGACAAAATCAACTGTTTCTTTTGAATTCGACTTCTAAAATAATTTTCTCTTTAAATATTATTGCATGCAGTAAAAAGCAAATTAAATAGGGTTAGTTGAAAATTCTAGAAATTAATGATAGCGTTCGAATGGACTGTTCTGACTGTCAGAATTTTTATTGTGTTTCATTCCCCCCATAATGCAATTCTGGCAAAACTTATCAGACTTTTTACAGAGTTGCACTATGACAAACCTCCGTCTTCTGATGGAAAGGGGTTCTATAAAACATCCTCCACATGACTGTAGGCACAATTATCTGTGCCAAATACTGTCATCTGTGTTAGATTAACTCACATAGGAGCCAGAAGATAACAGGATCAGGGAACTTCTCAGCTGTATTTTAGTACACTTTGACATCCTTTGATAACAAATCTCCAGTTTTGGTTTTAATTGCAAAGCTCATCTTCTCTAGCAATATGGTTGCATATGTTGAGAATTTCCAATTTATGGCAGAGGGCTTCCTGCCATCAAATCTTATCCAGTAATTGTTCTCTTAATGTGCCATTGCTAATTGAGCATTAAGGAAAACAACCCTGGTGATTTGGTGAATATTCTGGCATTTTATATAACCTAGAAACCTATGGTTCCCATGACACAGATGCTTCTGGCATGTTTCGGCTAATTCTTCCATTCTAATCAACTGCTAGTGGATGTAAATTTAGTCTATATCATTGTGAAAAACCCTAGGTGAACACTTACATTCTGGGATTGTCCCCAGAACTGAAAGTGCTTCAAATTCCCTTTAAGACACTACAATGCTTTCATTCTGCCATGGCTGCTAAAAGCTGATGTGGTCTTTGTGTGCATATGAGTATATGCAGATATTTGAAGGAAACCAAACCATTTTTTTTACAGGAAAGAGGCATCAGTCCTATAGTTAGTAACACTAGTTAGCAACAACAGGAGAATATTTAAAGGGCCTTTACGTGGATTACAAAATTAATTTGTCCTTCACCATTTTTATTTCCAGTCAGAGATGTCTGCCATGGTGTAGAATACCTGGGGACAGCTGGAGATCCTAGTCCAATCGTGTCTGTGCCAGGCATATCCGAATGGTGTTGGTCACCACAATGGTGAGAGAACGGCGTTGTGGAAGTAGGGAAGTAGGTAATTTTGTTCACTTACATACCAGAGTCGGTGCAGTTCAGGAAAAAGAGGTGTGGTTCCAAGATGTATATAGAATGTAAAGTAGTTTAGGATTAAAGGTAGAATATAAATGACTGGTATTGTTATTCGTTAAATATATTTTTCAAGGTAAAAATGTTGTTCCTGTATTTTGTGCGTCTTTCCTGTTTGAATTGCCAGAATACATATACATAAACATATAATGAAAATTGGTTCCCTTAACTATGACAAGTTCAATCTTAATTTAGTAGAAAAACCCATATTACTTGGTTCCCACATTCCTGGAAATTAATGTTTCATGGCTATGTTGCTTCCACAGTAAAATATTAAAGCTTTTCTGGTGACATAATGAACCTCAAAGAGTAAAGAAACACAAGCCCTCCAGAGGCTTAAATGCATGAGATTGGTGCAGACTGAATAATATTTTCATTTCCTTCTTTTCCAAGGTATATTTCAATTCAAGAACTCCCAGTCAACCAGTGTAGGCCACTCTTAAATGTTCATGAATTTGGGTAAGGGCTATTCTTGGCTTAAAAGTTCAGGGTTCTTTGGACTTTATCACAGTATATAATAATAATAATAATGAATCACAAATTTCAAACAGAAGATCTTGCTTAGAAATCATGTATATATCAGTTGCTCTTTGGTTTTCAAAGACTGGATAATCAACTTAGTTGCTCTGCCTCAACTTCCAGGTTTTCTTAAACCATGCATTTAAAGAAGTCTTTAGCTTATCAGCTTGCAGTGGGAGCTTGAATTCCATTTGCTTGGTGCTTATTTAGGACTTGTTCCCTATCTCAATATTACCAGAAATTTAATCCAAGATCAAGACCTTTGCTCTGGCAAGGCTCATAAAACATTCAAGGTCCTTTAAGCTCAAGCCCTCATTCACCACCAACAGGTAATTAGTGAAATAGCCAATTAGTCCTTCAATCTTATGTTTCTCCCAGGCACTACACAAGTAATCACTAAGCCAAAGTGCAATAAAACCCATTTCTGCCATGTCACCACCAAAGCTCTGGGTAATGCCTGGTGTCCCTGTATCAGGTCCAATGCTTCTATTCTGTGTGACTGAAAGCCAAGTATTATCTTTATTATATGAATAAAGTCTATGGGTCTGGATGAGATTCATCCTTGGGTGCTGAGGGAGCTGGCAGAAGAACTGGCTAAGCCACTCTCCATTATTTATCACTGGTCCTGGCTAACCAGGGAGGTCCCAGATGACTGGAGGTTGGCCAATGTGACACCTATCCACAATAAAGGCTGGACTAAGGATCCGGAGAACTATAGGCCTGTCAGCCTGACCTCAGTGCCTGGCAAAATTATGGAGCAGATCATCCTGAGTGCTATCAAGTGGCATGTAGAAGACAACCAGGGGATCAGGCCCAGCCAACATGGGTTTAGGAAAGGAAGGTCCTGCCTGACAAATCTCACCTCCTTCTATGACTGGGTGACCCACCTAGTGGATGAGGGGAAGGCAGCGGATGTGGTCTAGCTTGACTTCAGCAAAGCCTTTGACACAGTCTCCCACAGCATTCTTCTGGAAAAGCTAGCAGTCCGTGGCTTGGACAGGTGCACCCTTAGCTGGGTTAAAAAGTGGTTGTATGACTGGGCCCAGAAAGTGGTGGTGAATGGTGCTGCATCTGGTTGGCATCCGGTGACCAGTGGTGACCCCCAGGGATCAGTACTGGGCCCAGTTCTATTCGACATCTTTATTGATGACCTGGATGAGGGGATTGAGTCTGCCCTTCGTAAATATGCAGATGACACCGAACTGGGGGGGAGCATCAATCTGCCAGAGGGCAGGAAGAGGCTGCAGAGGGACCTGGACAGGCTGGGTCAATGGGCAGAGGCCAATGGTATGAAGTTTAACAAGACAAAGTGCAGAGTCCTACACTTCGACCACAATAACCCCATGCAGCTCTACAGACTGGGGGAAGAGTGGCTGGAGAGCAGCCCAGCAGAGAGGGACCTGGGAGTACTGGTTGGCAATTGGCTGAACATGAGCCAAGAGTGTGCCCAGGTGGCCAGGAAGGCCAATGGCATCCTGGTCTGTATCAGGAATAGTGTGGCCAGCAGGAGCAGGGATGTCATTCTCCCTTTGTAGTCAGCACTGGTGAGGCCTCACCTCGAGTACTGTGTACAGTTCTGGGCCCCTCACTTCAAGAAGGATATTGAGGTGCTGCAGTGGGTCCAGAGGAGAGCAATGAGGCTGATGAATGGACTAGAGGGAAAGTCTTATAATGAGAGGCTAAGGGAGCTGCGGTTGTTTAGCCTGGAGAAGAGGAGACTCAGGAGGGACCTTATCACTGTCTACAACTGCCTGAAGGGAGGTTGTAGTCAGATGGGGGTCGGGCTCTTCTCCCAGGCAACTGGTGACAAGATGAGAAGGCATCATCTTGAAGCTGCGCCAGGGGAGGTTTAGGCTGGAGATCAGAAAGCACTTTTTCACAGAGAGCGTGATCAGGCATTGGAATGGACTGCCCAGGGAGGTGGTGGAGTCACCATCCCTGGAGGTGTTTAAGGAAAAGCTGGATGTGACACTTAGTGCCGTGGTCT